ACCCCTCCAAATAAATACATAAATAAAACTAAAAAAGTTTCAGTGAGAATTTCTTTATTAGTTGTTCAACTTTTTTAACCTCTTGGACAGAGGAGGTAAGAGTCGTTTTGAGTAGAAAAATGGAAATACTATAGGAAAACTAGTGATGACTGCTGAATAGACTGTGGCAGTAGAATATAAACTCTCTTAAGACAAGACTGTGTCATTTTTTGTCTTTTTATTGGTGCCTTAGTATAATACCTTGCATATTAATGACTACTTGGTGAATTGAATTGAATTGAATTTCCTACCACTAATCCTAGATTTATTCTTAGTCCCATTTTATTACCTGAAGTAGAGTCAGGACTAAGAACCTAAAAAAGGTTTTTGTACTTGATTTGTGATTTAATAAGGATAGGGAACCTTTCAAGGAACTTAGTCTACTCAATGTCTATTTGGCAGCTTACAGCCTTAGAGAATTACCTGGGAGCATTGAAAGGTTAATGACTTTACAGGGCCATACAGCAAGTGTAAGAAGGTGGGCTTAAACCCAAGCTGACATGATTCCAAAGCCTACTCTCTATTCACTTTGCCAAACAGCCCCTCTGCACTTTAGGTAAGGTTTGAAATTTGTTTCCCCATGTTTAAAAATTAGGTATTCTGTGTCCACTGGAGTATTTGAACCCTCAGAGTAATACATGCAATTTGGCTAATTACAAAATAAGTGCTTTTGATTAAAAAAAAGCCTTTGATTTAAAAAAAAGCCATGAAGGTGGGTGGGGATCTTTATAGCAAATTTCTCTGATAAACATTTTATTTCCAAGAAATACACAAAACTGATTCAAATTTATAAGAATAAGAGTCATTCTCCAGTTGATAAATGCCCAAAAGCTATCAATAGGAAGTTTTCGAAGAAAGAAATCTAAGCTATCAATAGCTATGTTACAATGTTCTAAATCTTTACTAGAAAAATGAAAATGAGAAGAACTGAGGTTCTACTTCCAACTCATCAGGTTGGCAAAAGTGGCAGAAGAGGAAATGACCAGTATTGGAAGGGCTATGGGAAAACAGGCATATTAATGCACATTTGGTGGAGTTGTTAATTGGCTCAGCCATTCTGGAAAGCAGTTTGGAACTATTCTCAAAAAGTTTCTAGACTCTACATACCTTTTCATCTAGTGGTACCATTATACCATTACTAGCCCTATATACCCAAAGAGAACAAAGAAAGAAGAAAAGAATCCATATATACAAAAATATTTATGGTAGCTCTACTAGAAAGTAAAAGGCTGTCCATCAATTGGGAAATGGCTAAATATATGTGTATATACATACATATACATATACATATACATACATACATACATACATATATATATATATATATGCATATATATGTATATATAGTTCATGAATGCAATGAAATACTATTGTGCTACAAGAAATGATGAAAGCGACAGTTTCAGAAAACCTGGGACAACTGGCATGAACCAATACTCAAGAAAGTAAGTAGAACCAAGAGAACAATTTATAAAGCAACAACATATTAAACACTATTTTGAAAGACTTAAGAATTCAGATCCATGTAATGACTAACCACAATTCCAGAGGGCTGATGGTGAAGCATGCTACCTATCTCCCAACAGAGAAATAATGGACTCAAAATACAGGATGTGACACACATTTATGGGCATGGCCAATATGGAAATTTGTTTATCACAAGAGTTTTCTTTTTTTCTCAATGGGAACAGGGGGAGGGAAAAAAGAAAATTCTTTTTAATTGAAAAAAATTAAAGAATATATACACTTATAAAAAGCAATGTAAAAAATTGTCTTTTGTTGGGCTCCTTGCCAGTTACACTACAGGTAGTTATTTGCCTTCCTACCAGTCATCTCGGTTTTGGCTTGATGCCATGTGATTTAATAAGAGATAGAGAAAGAGAAACAGAGACAGAGAGAGACAGAGATGGGGGCGAGATTAGAGCTTCATCATTGGGGGTGGGAGAGAAGGTACACTAAGTTATTAGACTGTCAAAAATCTGACTTTTCTAATGACCTTAACATAAGATGCCACACAAAATGTTAGAGGATTCTAAGACATACATATGGATTATGACTTCCGGCTAAATGCTTATTACAAATAATTCAACAGGACTCTGTTTCTTGTATGCAGATACTTTAATAAATATATATAATAAAACAACAAAACAACATGTTTTGTTGGCAAATACTTGATAAATGTTTGTTGCATTGAATTCCCATAAATCATCTCACTTCACAGCATAGTGAATAGATTTCTGGACTTGAAATCAGAAAACCTCGATTCAAATCCGACCCCAGTTATTTACTAATTATGTTACCCTGAGGAAATCACTTAGTCTGGGACTCAATTTCCTGACATACAAAATTAGAGAATTGGAATAGATGGCCTCTAAAATTTCTTACAGCTCTAAATTATGATTCTATGATATTCAATAGATGTATTTATACTTCAGCTTCCTTCCAGGCATATAGTGACATAGTTTGGAAAGCCCTAAACAAGTGTGAAGTGAACATTCATGTATTAAGCACCTGCTACATTCCAGACACTATGTGAACCACTGGAGATACAAAGAAAGAGAAAAAAAATTCCCTGCTCTTAAGGAGTGTACAGTCTAATGGGAAAGACAATAGGCCAGCAACTATGTATAAACAATATACAGGTAAGACAGGTTGGAGATAATCTTACAAGAAAGATACTAGCATTAACAGGGATCCAGATAGGCTTCTTTCAGAAGGTAGAATTTTATTTGGAACCTGAAATCCTATCTTCTACCACCTGGTGCATATTTTGCATGTCCTCTAGCACCAGTTTTACTGAACACTATTTCCCAAACTCCTTCATGTACTGTAATGCTGCATTAAGTTCAATTTGATATGCATCAGCTCATCCAAGGCCAGAGGCCATACAGAAGAAAAGAAGTAAAGATTTTGCCCTGACAGAGCTTAGAGAGTAATTCATATGGATTAGTAAATAAAGCATTTGTTTTCTTTTGAACACATGGAGAAGTTATTATGCCCTGTCCACTCTACCTTATCCAAATCATACCAATCTTTCAAGGTCTAGCTGAAGTCTAATTTCTTTCTTGATGGTTTCCTCCCAACTTAGAGCCTCAACTAATATTTCCCTCCTCTGAATGCTTTTAGAACATGTAGTCTGTATCGTGCACTTTGGTACACTATTTTACACTGTCTTCTGTAACTGCTTTTCCTGTAATGTTATTTATGCTATTTTCATCTCTTCTAGTTTCTGAGTTCAAGGGACAATGACTAATACTTCTCTTGTATTCCCACAATGAGGCTCACAAATTCTCATTGATGGGTACAACTTTTTGGTAAAGGAGTTTTAGAGAAGACATTTCCAAAGCGTCACCCAAGTAAAGGATTTGGATTTGAGTAACATATAGGCTAAGATTCAACCTATATGTCTGTGTCCTCTAAAAATATCATCAAAGAAGATGCAGTCATATCAATTTGGAAACACCTGCCTTTCAGTAAGACTGTTTCCAGTCTGTAACTCCAGATCCTTTTCTCTCACTTTCTTATTAACCTGCTGTCTGGCTTCATACTTCATCATTTCAACTGAAAATACGCTCTCCAAAGTCACCAAAGTTTTTTTTTTCTTTAAAATAAAAATTATTCATTATTTATTCATTTTTTTTTTGAGTTCCAATTTTCTCCCTCCCTTCTGCTTCCCCCCCCCCCGGAAGAAGACAAGCAATATGATATCAATTATACATGTGAAATCACTCAAAACATAGTTCCCTATTAGTAATAATGTTGCAAAAAAAAGGAAGAGAAATAAAGAAAGTGGAAAAAATTATGCTTCAATCTGCACTCTAATTTCATTAGTTCTCTCTCTGGAGGTGGATGACATTTTTCACCATAAATTTTTCAGAATTGCCTTGAATCATTTTCTTGATGAGAGTAGCTAAATCCTTCACATTAATCATCATTATATTACTATGTACAATCTTCTCCTGGTTCTGCTCACTTCACTTTACATCAGTTCAAATAAATCTTTCAGGTTTTTCTGAAACCACCCTGCTCATCATTTCGTTATTGAACAATAGTATCCCATCATAATTATATACCACAATTTGTTCGGGTCATTATGGCATCCCTCAATTTCCCAATGGTCTCTTAATCACCACCTCAGAAATAGAAATTAATATATATCTTCTTTATACACAGTTGTTTTCATGTGTCTCCCCAACTAGAGTGTGAGCTCCTTGACAGCGGGGTGTATTGACTTTCTTTGTATCCTCAGTGCTCAAATCAGAGGCTGCAACATAGTAGGCTATTAATAAATGCTAGAGTGGTCATAGGCTAGTTAATTACTCTACCCCACCCCAGCAATGTAAAAGTAATCCCTCATCTTCCTGATAACAAACAACCACAACAACAAAACTGAACAACCCTTTAACACTATCTGGACTTCCTCCTATACCCTTTGTAAAATGCAAACCCGGATTTTCTTTGCTTAATGACCTCTGCTTCATCCCTGCTCAATTAAAATTCTTTTCTGGTTCCTGGAGAAGTTACGCTGGGTGAGAAGGAAGCATAGATCACGGAGATCTCTGTAAAAATAGGGACCATCTGGCACCTGCATTATATTTACACCTTTATTCCTCACAAGAGGTTAGAGGGGCAGAGAGACAAAGGACAGCCGTGAGTACGACCCAGTTCCTCTGGAAGTTTTAGCTGGTTGTAGCTCTCACTAAAAAAAGAAAAAAAAGAAAAAACCTCAACTCATCCATCAAACAAAAAGTGTGCGGTGACCCCCGCCCTGGCCTACAAAGTTGGAAAGTGGGGACAGTAGAAGAGAGACAAGCCGCTTTCCCCTAGTGCTTCCCCAAGAATTCAATTCAAACTGGTGCAGAGACCAGCCTGGACCAGGAGGGGTCGCTCTTCCCCCGGAGCAGCCACCCCTTAGCTGCCAACACCTCCCACGGTCAGTGCTTTCCCAACCCAGGCAACTTATAACAGCCCCTGGGCTAGCAGGAGGGGACAGAGCAGAGCCTTGGCAGAAGCTGCTGGTGAAGGAAGCTGCCGCTGTTGGTAGTATCACGGAGGATCCTGTAGACTCCCAGAACCCGGGGACCGTCGTGGTTTGCAAAAGAGAAGAAGAAAGGAGAGTTGGACGGTCAGGAGTGTCCAAGTAGGAGCACCACCCCCGGGGACACCTGTTCCTCTCCCTCCACCCCACTCTCCACCCCCCTCCGACCCTGCGCCACTCGGCGCGCCCGGGAGCGGAATGAATCCCATGCTGGGCAACCAGACGGAAGCGGCTGGGCTTTTCTTGGCCAACAGCAGTGACTCGATGGAGCGGGTCCTGCGCTGCTGTACACAGGCATCCGTGGTGACAGACGATGGCTTTGGGGAAAGCGGGCAGGACGAACGGAGTCTGTACATTATGCGAGTGGTACAGATAGCCGTTATGTGCGTCCTGTCGCTCACCGTTGTCTTTGGCATCTTCTTCCTCGGCTGCAACCTGCTCATCAAGTCGGAGGGTATGATCAACTTCCTGGTGAAGGATAGGCGACCATCCAAAGAGGTAGAGGCGGTGGTTGTGGGACCTTACTGACCTTCCCCTCCTTCGCCACAGCTTGCCCCCTCCCCCTGTCCTACCCATCTTGCCAAACCCAGCCGCGCCTCTCAACCATCTGAGATGTGGCGAAAGAAAGTTATCGGAGTGATAGCCTCCTAATGATTCTTCGGCTGCTGCTTCGGTCACCATCTCTTCTACCTAAGGGATGAAGCGACCTCTTAGTCTCGCTCCGTTCTTTGAAAGCCTCCCACCCTAAGAAGAGACCTCACCAGCCTCTGTGCACTTCTGGGACAGTCCAGCAAAAAGTAATGAAAGAAAGGGATGGGGAGGATGGTGGAGAGCAATGGGCAATAACTTTCTAGTTGCTGGGAGATGTCCCGTCGCCTGAGATCCGGGGAGATCACGGCGAAGGGAGAGATACGCATCTCAGCTTGCATGTGGGGACGGGATCTTGGGGAAAGTGGGGAAGGGGGAGGGATGGCCGAATCCTCCCGGCAACGATGCGACTGGTCGCCTGGCCTGGAGCCGCGCTTCCGAAAATGTGACCTGTGTATATACAACGCGACAGACTTCACAACAATGACATGCAAACTAAGCAGAACAAACATTCCCAGATTCAGTCCCCTCTCCACTGGAGGGGACAATCGGTAACTACATTTTGATTGTAGCTCACTGTTTTAAGGGATATTTTGCTTAAGAAATAATTATTATAAAAATTTGTAAGTGTTTTCCAACCCTTTTTGTTTGGCTGTGGGTCTGGAATTTTCTCGTCTTGAGGGAGAAGGGATTAATGGGGGGATGGGGTTCACGAGGGAGGAGAGGGGAGAAGACGGGACAAAAAATGTGAATGTTGTGAATTGTCTTCTACTGTCGCTTTTCCTATGCCCATCGTAGTGTGCAGGGCTGGCCTGGAGCTGGCCCATGGGGTCTGGGGAGCAGAAGGGGTAGCATGTGAGAGAGTACTGCACGAGTTTAAGCAGCAAAAGTGCTTTAAATCTGTGGCACAATTTTTATTTTTTTTCCTTTATTTAAATTTTCTGTAATAAATACATATTCACAAAATGTTCCCTCTGCTGACCTCCTGGTGCTCTTTCCGCGATTAAGAAAAAGGAGGGTGAGGGAGAGGGATGCGCTGGTATGGGGAAGTAGGGACAGCAGAGTGGGCTTGGAGAACTCAGGTTAAGGACACAGGTCAGAGGGACTGGGCAAGTGGATGAGGGAAAGGACAGAACAGTGAAGCAATCTGACATTTTTAAGAATGCCAAGAATCCTTAAATACCCATTGAAGCCATCTGAAGGCAGCGTCCTTTTATTTTCAATTAAATCATCATCGGGTTTTTTTTGTTGTTATTTAATATTTCATTTAGGCTCTGTGGGCTGAGTCAGACAGGACTTCAAGAAACCTTGGGAGGGTCAGACTTCCTTGCGTTGCTCCAGTGGAAAAACAGGGCTAAGAAGCTAATGAAAGGAAGAGAGGACTTAACTTGTCTTCTGGGAAGGTGACTTTACCCTAACGTCACTAAAAGTATTCTATGGTAGTTGATGGGATTTTTATTTGTTTGTTTGCTTGCTGGTTGGTTTAGAAAAAGAAAAAATAACTAGACTATAATATTTTCCCCTTGTGCCAAACTATTGATGCCAATTCTTATTATGATGCCTCTTGGCCTAATATTCACTGTTTTTCTTTTTCCTTATAGAAAGGATCAATATGAGTTTTGGAAAAGGAGGAGGAGAGAGGCAGAGGAGGGAGATGAAAGAGAGAGAGAAAGAGACAGACACACAAAGACAAACACACCAAATACACGGATAGACATACAGACATGCACAGATATACAAACACACAGTCACACAGAGAGATACAGTCACACAGATGGATTTAAATTATGTACATGTAACTTGATAAAATGGCATGTTCCTTCCCAGCAAATAGAAATTAAAGGAGTTAGCCAAGGTCCTGAATACCTGGGCAGACATGGAATTTATACATCAAAAGTTAGGAAGGGAAAACAGAAAAAGAGATGGAGCTACAGGTGGTCAGTCCCATGGACAGGCCATACTTGGGTCCGGGCATTTGGCCCAGTTTTGATGACTAGCAGCAGGAATCAGTGATTTTTGAAAGCACAATGCAAACAGGAACCATTTACTGAAGCTTAAGCTTTACAATGTGTGCTGTTAATCCTTAAAAATGGGGCAGGGTCCTAGAATACTACAAGAAGCTAGCGGATCTATTATTAATTCCATAGGATTAAGGAATAGTATAAATCATTTCACTGAAGAGATTTTAGGAGTTTCACTGGCTTCTGGAAATGCTTTTCACTTATTTTAGAAGAACAACTGGTATAAACAATGTCATTGACCCGATGACACTGGCTATCAAGTGCTAGTCAGTGATCTGTCTGGCTGCCAAAAGTCCCTGTTACCCCTCTAGCAAATCTTTTCATTAAGCCCAAGGTGGTTACTTTTAATGCTAATGGAAAATCTGGCTAGAAGAAAAAAAGATTTTATTGGCCTCCCTGGGGTTCTAGATATTCAAATGCAAAGCACACATTTTTGACATCTATTTTTCACTACATTTTACCAGTGGTAGGGCAGGGTACGGCACTCTTGGTAGGAAAATGGCATGCAATTTAACAGAGGGAACTTGCTATGGTATGGTATAGTGGAAAAAGCATTGGACTACCAATCAGGAGATCTTGGTTTTAATTTTGGCTCTGTTACCTTGAGCAAATAATTCTGTTTCTCTGGCCTCAAGTTTCTCAACTTTTAAATGAGATGATTGGACTAGATGACCTCTGAATTTTCTTCTGGCCCTAGTATTCAAGGACTAAAGATTTATCTGGTCAGCATCTTACTGAGGACAACTTAAGTCTATTGCTCCATTGGTTCCAAGGGAAAAAAGACATACATTTACCCTGTCCTTTGAGATTAAAGATATCACAGTTTGAAAGCTGAAGGGGACCACTAGGCCAAGTGTGACCCCCTAATTTATAGCTAAGAAAATGAAAGCTCAGAAGGATTAAGTGATTTCTCCGGGATGACAAAGCTACTAAGTTTCTGAGGAAGGACTTGAACCCAGGTCTTCATGATTCCAAGTCCAGGACATATCCATTATGTCATGTAATATAGGATGTGTGCTTCATAACAAAATTCAGAGGGTACAAAAAATTCACAGCCTTGGAGATTACTTGCCTCTATCACCTTCATGAGATGTGTCTCTATGTATAACTATTTTCACTGATCTAGTTAAAAACTAGTCATTTAGAAATAAGCAGGGTATGGCTGGTTGAACTCTTTTGTGTCCTGCTGACACAGTTTGGGCCACTTTGGGAGTTCCAACCTGCCTAGGAATTTGAAATTCATTTATTTGCATATGGCATATATCTCCTTTAAAACACAAGACCAGATCTAGATTTGGGAGGTGATGGAGTGACTAAACTTGGCTTCTGCTCCAGACAAGAGACCTTTTTCTCTTCCTTTTTTGCTTGCCTCATTTTTGTCCTTGTCTATTACATCCTCTGCTTCCTCTAGATCAGTTTGTAGGTTCCCTACATTTAATATTCACTCTAAATTTTCTCCTCCTTTGAGATCCTGATACCAATCAGACCTTATACTTTACATAGATAGATCTATATGTGAATGTGGATGTATGTGAATGTTTGTGGTCTAGGATGTGTGCTTCATAACAAAATTCAGAGGGTACAAAAAATTCACAGCCTTGGAGATTACTTGCCTCTAGCAATCAGATTCTATCTTATCTGTGGTGGGAAAAAAAATGTCCTCCATATCCATTTGTTACTTAGAGGGATGCCAAGTGGTTCTGGTTTTTATAGATGCGCTGATGGGAGCAAGAAGCTTTTTACACCCATTATGTCCTGATGGCCACACAGCAGTGGTTTCTCCAGGCTCCCAACCCTTCCTCATGCCTGTCTGCCTTTGCCACTATTTTCTTTCATCCAATTCTAACAGCTATATGAAAATGGCATTTTATCAATCCTTGAGCCTAGGGGATGATAATCCTTTCCCACTGACACACTACAAGGTACAGGAGGATTATTCTACAGTGCAAGTGATGCCCTTCCTAATTCCTCTAAGCAAGGCTAGTCCCCAAAGACTGGGAAACATGATAGACAGAAGGAAGAAGCCACATGATTTTGCCAACCTGTTCTCATTGCCAGAACCCTAAGCAATAGGTAAGAGGCTAAAGGAGATACATTTCTCTAGATGCTTGGTTAGTCTGATGTGAGTGCTAGGGAAAGAGCTCCTAGGGAAACAGCATGTCTAAGAGGCACAACTTGTAAATCAACACTGTCATACCCCTACACATTGAGTGACCCCCCCCTTCCTTCCTGGTAGTTTTACTGAAATTATCTCCTGCTCCAGTAACTTTAGCCTGTTATTCATGTATTATTTTTATATTAGATACAGAGCTATTGCTTTTCAGAGCAAATGTATGAATGAATCAATGAACAAATTAGAAAATATTTAATAAATGTTTACCATGTGCCAAGCATTTTAAATATGCTAATAAGGAATTAAAAATTGAAGTTAGTACCTGCCTTCAGGATGCTTACATTCTAGTAGGGAGGGAACACCTACAAAGGAAGAAGCAAGCCAGGGTGGGGTACTGTGGTTTGAAAAGCTACATAGGGGAGTAAATTGACACAATTTTTCTGGCAGTAAAAACAATATTGATGTGGTTATGGTACCAGAAGTGGAATAGCTGAGGATAGCAGGGTGGTTTCTGCATAAATGGCCTGGGAATAAGCATCATGTTTGGCATTAGCCTGGCCTGATATAGTGGACTACATGAAACACTCACCAGTCAGGAGGGTGTGGGGGGAAGGCCCAGTGGAAGTTCTGGAGTTAAAGGGGTTAAATCCTCCAAAGCATGCCTGGAGAGAGAAAAAAAAAACCAGAACGCACTCTCTTTTGGGTAGTCTAAGGGAAAGAAGAGCAATCACTTTTCCTGCCAAGCCAAAGATCAGTTCTGCTCCCACAGGAGCCTCCTGGTGACTGATCTCCTCATGCCTCAGAGTCCCCTGTTCTCTCTCTCCCCAGCCCTGCTG